AACCAAAAATATTCAGTAATTATTTTTAAACTTCCGCTAAAAAGGTTTTATATTTATTCGTGTTTTTTCTTCCCATCACCCACCGCGAATTTCTCTATTTATCTTTATAAAATTTTCATTTTTCCCCTTTATATTAAGTGTTTTTCATTTCATTTTATTTATTTATTTATTCATTTATTTATTTTGCTACCAGTTAGTGACTTTCTGGTCGTGCTGACTTTTAAATATATTTAATCATGTAAAGAAATATTAACTAAGCTTATTATCGTCTGACACAAGGACCACAAAAACGTGAAAGCTAGTAAGGTCTGAAGTCACTATTAGACTCTTACTGTATGTTTAGTTATTTACAACGTTTCTTCAAGTCTGACATAAGACTAAGAACTTTCGATACTACTGCACATATGTCGATATTTAGTAAGTATAGCAATAAAAATGTTATTGTATGTGCTTCAACTAATAGATTTAGTAGATATGATAATAATAACAGAAAATAGTTAATTTAAAAATCAATAATAATTGTAAACTGATTTGATGTCTTTTTTCAAACAGTAAACAGTTATGTATTAAAAATCATTAACAATTTTTTAACCAAAAATTAATTTAAAAAAACTCATCAAATAGTGATTTTAATGTTTGTAAACTGATTTGATGTCTTTTTTCAAACAGTAAACAGTTATGTAGTAACAAAAGTACGCAGTTGAGGACACATGGTACAGTGGATTTATTAACAAGAGATAACTGATAACTGACATCCATTAAACATGGCACGTGGAACTAGAACAGTCTACCCCAGTGAGCGAAATAAAGGGTTCAGTTTGACATTCCAACCACCTGAAGAAGGCCGGAGCGTACAATAATAACAGTAATGAATATGGTGACAAAGATGAGGACAATAGTCCGAATAATGTAAATAAAGTTTATACCAATTTTAAATACATAGTATCTTTCCATCCACTCTGGATTTATAAAAATACAGTATTAATTATAGGGTTTTACTTTTGATCCTTAAATACTCACTATAAATGCGTATGAATAAATGAAACAGCTATTTTCATTCCCTTCCCAAAATGCTATGCTATTTTACAATGATCTGCATATTTACATTACACAAATTCTGTCATGGGTCACAATTCAGCACGTGAACATTAGCGAGACAAGCTTGATAAAATGTCCGTTGTGATGAAAAGTTGATGGTATATATAGATATTTATTTCAAACTGAGTACAGAATGCACCATTGAAAGTTATTAATCCTGTACCTCCAAGATAGCTCCAAAAATAGAATTTTCAAAAAACATCTAAGATCTAAGTATCCGTATTTATCATCATCGTTGTAAAAAATATGGCGACAAAGATGGGGACAATAGTCCGAATAATGTAAATTGTGTACATAATACCTCATCTTAGAAATATAGACAGATACTGAACTTGCAGGTATCGAATTTCAAACTTTTTAACAACAGTTTTTTTTTTAAATCAACCCAAGACCTGCAAATAGCGAAATTCAAATTTTAATAGCGCTGTCTTTCAAAAGTAACCCGTAATATCACAAGCAGCAAACATTCCAAATTTAGAATTTCCTCAACAGTAGCGTTAAATTCAATAATAGAAAATTTGAAAGTTTAGTAACGCGGAACTTTTAAACATAGCCTGAAATATTGAGTATAACGAAATTGAAAGTTTCTAAAAAATAAATAAATAAAAACGGAAAATTTTTATAATTTATTTTGAAAATTAATGGTAGTAATAATTTTAGACAAATGATGCCGCTCAGCTCAAAAGCATTGTCAGAGATTGAGGCGCCGGAGACAAATTTTGTCTTTTGTTTATTTCTCAGTTGAATGTAAATACAAATGAGGGTTTGAGAGCTTCAAGCTCCCACTCCGATGGCACCATAGATTGTCCAGTGATCCGTTTAATTAAAAATATTTAAATATCTGGGAAGTGTTTTAAAAGAGGACGGAAAATGCGACACAGAAATTCCGAAGGCTCATTGGGATTGCGAAATATTCCTTCAAAAAGCTAAGCAAAGTAAAAAGAAACCGGAAAATCTCGTTAGAAACAAAGAAAATAGTACTGGACTGCTACGTAATATCATCCTTCCTGTATGAGAGTGAATGCTAGCGAATCTCCTCACTGATGAAAATAGAATTGAAGAAACAGAAATGTGATTCTACATAAGGATACTGAGAATACCATGGATTGAACACATGAGCAAAGACTAGGTTTTAGAAAAAATGAAAACAAAAAAGGGCACTTCTATTTAATATCAGAAAGAAACAGTTGACATTTCTAGGACACATAATGAGGAAAGACGGCTTGAAAAATCTGATACTCACATGAGAGATTGAAGGTAAGAGGGACAGAAAAAGACAATGCATAACCATCTTAGTGAGCAGGAGTAAATGTATAGCAAAATAGAATTTAGGAGAGATAACAAAAAACAAAATTTAATAACAGTTACAAAGGATACGAAATTGTGGAGGGCCATGACCGCCAATGAACTGAAATGGCACGGCACATAGATGAGAAGAGAAAGAAACAGAGAGATGTTTAACTCCACCTCGTAAAACATAGCAAAAAAAAAAACGTTACAGAAATCGGAGTAGCTACTCCTACCTTGGTGAGGCTGTGGCCCTATCCCCACATAGGTGTCTATAAAATATACAAAATAGAATTTAGAAGAGATAACAAAAAAAAAATTACTAAGAGTTACAAAAGATGCGAAATTGTGGAGGGCCATAACCGCCAACGTCCTGAGGGAACATGGCAAATAGAAGAGAAGATGTTGCTAAACGTTTTATTTCGATGGATGTAGTTGAAGAGCCTTAGCTAAAGATTTGATTTTTTTTTAGTTGAACTGTGTAAAAATAATGAATGCCTTTTTACTCACCATTTCAGTACATCGGGGATTTTTACCTTCACTAGTTCTTGGCAATAAAGGTGCTTGTTGTTATTCTTGTACATTAATCTAAGAGGATGGAGTAGACAACACCTACCACCTTCCATCGTCTTCTGAAATCATTATGGGGACGGAAGCTCGGTTTAGCTGTCGATAGATATTTCATCCAGAAGCCCAAAGTCCTTGAACAAGAAATAAAAATATCGCTTCAATGTGACATTTAGTCTTTGCTAAAAATGCCAACTCATTTCTTAGCAATATTCATAATTTATTACATATAATTAATTAATACACTCCGTAAAATCCGATATTAATTATAAAAATTAAAATAAGATTAATTTGGTTTTTAAAAATAAAAAGTTATTAATATAGATTTCTTAAAAACACCCGGTACTAATTATATAGTGTGGATGGAAAGAAACTCCCTATTGAAAATTACTTATAACTTCTGTTAATATTACCACATTTGAAGGAAACAAAATATATTGACGTCCTGGGTAAGGCGATAAACTACATCCGCGCCCTCGCTAAGGCGATAAACTACACCCGCGTTCTGGGTAAGACGATAAACTACATCCGACATAAAACCTCTGGTCAGGTTTTGAGGAGCGTAGAACCACCTCTTAATTGCTGGTGTTCCCAAGTCAACCCTGACCCGTGGTGGCAGCACCTGTTATGGCCCCAGCTATGGGAAAATAGTTTACCTCCACACTGGAGTCAAAATGCTATGAAAATATAAAAATAGGTTTTAATACCAATAATACATTTTTGGAAAAAACCAGCAATATATGTTTGAATGAAAAAATTATTACCAACAGTACACTTTTTGAAAAAAAATATTACACGCAATACATTTTTGAAAAATATTTTGAAATATTACCAGCAATACATTTTTGAAAAAAAAAAAAAACATATTACCAGCAATAGATTTTTTTTTAAAGTATTACCCGCAATACATTTTTTAAAAAACTATTACCAGCAATAAAACTCTTTTCAGTATTAGATAACCCATTGAGGTTGATATGCCGTAAAACGAGACAAAGCAAACTAAAATATATTGTGATTCCTAAATTGGTAGAATTTAATTGCTAATTTCGGTTTTTATTTCAGAGTGGCAAGTGTAGCCCAGAATGGTCCGAAGCCTGGCACAGCATGAGCGTGATCAGCTAGCGCCCTCTTACGAAGTGTGGCAGTTCGTGGTACAAGTGTGTTCAGAGACTTCAGTAGATGCCAAAACCATCAGAAATTGTCATTCCAAGCTGATGAATATGAAATCTGTGGTACACACCCTCAGAAGCAGTCGTCCTTCAACATCCAGATTGGAAGAAAATGTGTAAAAGGTGCAAGAAATGTTTATAGATATACCCAGACGATTACAAACACGATGAACAACGTTGGCGCCAATGTAGAATCTTTACACTACACTTTAGTTTTGCCATTATATAGTGTTAAGAATAAAATGCTTTATGAAAATCGACAAATAGTTTATAAAGTCTATACCAGTATCTGTCTATATTTCTGAGATTAGGTATTATGTACATTATTTACATTATTCGGACTATTATCCTCATCTTTGTCGCCAAGGACACATGTCACAGTGGATAAAGGCGTTAGTGGAGAACTTGGAGAGGGGAATTAACAGGAGAAAACTGATAACTGACACCCATTAAAGAAAAATAGAACAGTCTACCCCAGTGAGTGAAATAAAGGGTTCAGTTCGACATTCCAACCACCTGAAAAAGGCCGTAGCGTACAACGGTCGAAACGTTGTAATAAAAATGGCGACAAAGATGAGGACAATAGTCCGAATAATGTAAATAAAGTTTATACCAATTTTAAATAGAGAGTATCTTTCCACCCACTCTGGATTTATAAAAATAAGTATTAATTATAGGATTTTACTGATGATCCTTAAATACTCACCATAAATGCGTATGAATAAATGAAACAGCTATTTTCATTCCATCCCCAAAATGCTATGCTATTTTACAATGATCTGCATATTTACATTACACAAATTCTGTCAAGGGCCACAATTTAGCAAGTGAACATTAGCGAGACAAACTAGATAAAATGTCCGTTGTGATGGAAGGTCGATGGTATATATAGATATTTATTTCAAACTGAGTACAGAATGCACCATTGAAGGTTATTAATCCTGTACCTCCAAGATAGCTCCAAAAATAGAATTTTCAAAAAACATCTAAGATCTAAGTATCCGTATTTATCATCATACTCATTCTGACAAGTCAACATCCTACTCTTCAACATTTTTAAGCTTCCGTTAAATAGCATTTAACGATCTCAAGCTGTTCGGGCGTAGGCGTAAGTATATGCTATAACAAAAGAGACAATTGTTTTTTTCTACCAATGAGAACATAAATTTGATAATTTTTCTGGGTCTGACTTATCGCATGAAAAACATGTATATATATATATATATATATATATATATATATATATATATATATATATATAAATATGATAAAATGGAAAGTTTTTTGTGACATGTTTCATCCGTTAGGATTTCATCGGGCTGGGCTTTGTTGACGCTGCCACTGCTACACATGCTCACGAAACGGGAGACGCAGGTAGTTTCATAATTTTTGAAAGAATATTTTTTCTCAATCTAGCCAAATTCATTTGTATACAAATATTATAAAACAGAGCATTTACTTAAATATTTGCATCTATAAAAAGTATGTATAAACATAAAAATGTCTTAAAATAATTGTCAGACTTTGTCCATTTCATAATGTGTGACGTCATTTGTTTACATTTGATACGCCATGAGCAGATATGAATGTACGCGTGAGATTCATGGAAGATTGAAGTTTAAATACAGTAAATTCGACCTTGCTTTCCGAACGCGCCTCTGTGGTCAAATCGACAAACGCAGGTCAAGCTAAATGACGGTTCCGTATAGGATACAGGTTCAAATCCTGTCGGAGGACGAATATTTACTGTAAAAATTTCTCGGACATTCAGGCCGGTAAATGTTGTTTAATACTGTTTATTATAAAACAGAGCATTTACTTAGATATTTGTATCTATAAAAAGAATGTATAAACATAAAAATGTCTTAAAATATATATATATGAAAAACGGTCTCTCGAAGCAGATATATCAAAAGGAGATCAAGTTCTTCTTTTATGTGCCGTGTCCCTTCAGGACGTAGTCGATCATGACCCTCCACACCTTCCTGTCTCTTGTCTTATTTCTCCCAAACTTAGTTTTACCAAGCTCACCCAGTATGTTATGCGCTGCTTCCGTCTGTCTCGCTTTCCCTCCACCTGTCCTGTGAATATCCAAACTTTCCTTTTCCATTACGTGCACCAGAAATGTCAACTGCTTCTTCCTGATGAAGTTTTCCTTTTTGTTTCCATTCTCTCCAAAACCTCGTTGTTGCTCACATGTTCAGCTCATGGTATCCACAGCTTCTTTCTGTAGGACCACATTTCTGTGGCTTCAAGTTTCTTCCTCACCTTTGATGGAATTGTCTGTGGACAGATATCACGTAACAGTTCAGTAGTCTCTTCTTTGTTTCTAACGGAATTTTTCTGCCTCTTGGCCATCCCAGCACGTCTTCGGTTCAGTATCGCACTTTCCGTCCTCTGTTAGAACACTTCCTAGATATTTAAATTTCTGCGGTTGCTTGATTTTACTATCCCCGACTGTAATTTGCATTTTAGGCTCATCCTCTAATGAGATAAAGTCACTACTCTTCTACTCCTAACATCGGGCCAGTATATTACTTTTGACTTCGGCGACTATAATTTTTTGAGTTCACCTTATCACTCACGATTAGCGGCAATTGGTTGTTCTATCCTCCTTAAACTTATTTTCTTCTATGAAAACTTTCACACAGAGACGCATGCATCTCAGCTTTTTCAGTAAAGGTTATTGTTATAAAAAAAAGAGTTTTATTTGCATGGAACTTACAGCTCATTTAAATCACGTTATATTTCTGATCACAAAAACAGCACTTTCTATGGGGTTCAAGTTACTAATAAAGGATCATTTTTCTATCGTCATCTTATTTTAAAGGCCTGGATTATTGTTCTTTACGTGTATATTATTTCTTTTCGGAAAGATTTTTTTTTTACTCTTTAATGCCAAAAGAATCGTAAAAAACTGAATATTAATTATCTCAGCTAAGATAACGGAAAATAAAATATGATTAAATTTTACTCAAAATTTTTAACCAAAAAATAATAAACCATTATCCTCTTCCTTCTTTTTCAAGTGTTTTTCATTTCTTCTTCAGCTCTTTTTCTTCTTGTCTAAGACGTATTTTCTTCTCCTCCAGTTTTCCTCTTTCTTTTTCTCCTTCTTTCTTAAGTCGTTTTTTATTATTCTTCTTCTTCTTCAGCTCTTTTTCTTCTTGTCTAAGACGTATTTTCTTCTCCTCCAGTTTTCCTTCTTCTTTTTCATTTTCTTTCATAAGTCGTTTTTTATTCTTCTTCTTCTTCTTCTTCTTCTTCTTCTTCTACTTCTTCTTCTTCAGCCCTTTTTCTTCTTGTCTAAGACATATTTTCTTCTCCAGTTTTCCTTCTTCTTTTCTTCTTCTTTCTTAAGTTTTTTTTTTCTTCTTCTTCAGCCCTTTTTCTTCTTGTCTAAGACATATTTTCTTCTTCTCCTTTTTTCCTTCTTCTTTTCTTCTTCTTTCTTAAGTCGTTTTTTCTTCTTCTTCTTCAGCCCTTTTTTCTTCTTTTCTAAGACGTATTTTCTTCTCCTCCAGTTTTCCTTCTTCTTTTCTTCTTCTTTCTTAAGTCGTTTTTTTTCTTCTTCTTCTTCAGCCTTTTCTTCTTGTCTAAGACGTATTTTCTTCTCCTCCAGTTTTCCTTCTTCTTTTTCTTCTTCATTCTTACGTCGTTTTTTATTCTTCTTCTTCTTCTTCAGCTCTTTTTCTTCTTGTCTAAGACGTATTTTCTTCTACTCCAGTTTTCCTTCTTCTTTTTCTCCTTCTTTCTTAAGTCGTTTTTTATTCTTATTCTTCTTCTTCAGCTCTTTTTCTTCTTGTCTAAGACGTATTTTCTTCTCCAGTTTTCCTTCTTCTTTTTCTTCTTCTTTCTTAAGTCGTTTTTTTTCTTCTTCTTCTTCTTCAGCTCTTTTTCTTCTTGTCTAAGACGTATTTTCTTCTACTCCAGTTTTCCTTCTTCTTTTTCTTCTTCTTTCTTAAGTCGTTTTTTATTCTTCTTCTTCTTCTTCTTCTTCAGCCCTTTTTCTTCTTGTCTAAGACGTTTTTTTTCTTCTCCTCAGTTTTCCTTCTTCTTTTTACTTCTTCTTTCTTAAGTCGTTTTTTTTCTTCTTCTTCTTCAGCTCTTTTTCTTCTCGTCTAAGACGTATTTTTTTCTCCTCCAGTTTTTCTTCTTCTTTTCTTCTTCTTGCTTAAGTCGTTTTTTATTCTTCGTCTTCTTCAGCTCTTTTTCTTCTTGCCTAAGACGTATTTTCTTCTCCTCCAGTTTTCCTTCTTCTTTTTCATTTTCTTTCATAAGTCGTTTTTTATTCTTCTTCTTCTTCTTCTTCTTCTTCTTCTACTTCTTCTTCTTCAGCCCTTTTTCTTCTTGTCTAAGACATATTTTCTTCTCCAGTTTTCTTTCTTCTTTTTCTTCTTCTTTCTTAAGTCGTTTTTTCTTCTTCTTCAGCCTTTTTTCTTCTTGTCTAAGACATATTTTCTTCTTCTCCAGTTTTCCTTCTTCTTTTTCTTCTTCTTTCTTAAGTCGTTTTTCTTCTTCTTCTTCAGCCCTTTTTCTTCTTGTCTAAGACGTATTTTCTTCTCCTCCAGTTTTCCTTCTTCTTATTCTTCTTCTTTCTTAAGTCGTTTTTTCTTCTTCTTCTTCAGCCCTTTTTCTTCTTGTCTAAGACGTATTTTCTTCTCCTCCAGTTTTCCTTCTTCTTTTTCTTCTTCATTCTTCGTTTTTTTTTTATTCTTCTTCTTCTTCTTCAGCTCTTTTTCTTCTTGTCTAAGACGTATTTTCTTCTCCTCCAGTTTTCCTTCTTCTTTTCTTCTTCTTTCTTAAGTCTAGTTTTTTTTTTTTTCTTCTTCTTCTTCAGCTCTTTTTCTTCTTGTCTAAGACGTATTTATTTCTCCTCCAGTTTTCCTTCTTCTTTTTCTTCTTCTTTCTTAAGTCGTTTTTTCTTCTTCTTCTTCTTCAGCCTTTTTCTTCTTGTCTAAGACATATTTTCTTCTCCTCCAGTTTTCATTCTTCTTTTTCTTCTTCTTTCTTAAGTCGTTTTTCTTCTTCTTCTTCTTCTTCTTCTTCTTCTTCTTCTTCTTCTTCTTCTTCTTCTTCTTCTTCTTCAGCCCTTTTTCTTCTTGTCTAAGACGTATTTTCTACTCCTCCAGTTTTCCTTCTTCTTTTTCTTCTTCTTTCTTAAGTCGTTTTTTATTCTTCTTCTTCTTCTTCTTCTTCTTCAGCCCTTTTTCTTCTTGTCTAAGACGTATTTTCTTCTCCTCAAGTTTTCCTTCTTCTTTTTCTTCTTCTTTCTTAAGTTTTTTTTTTCTTCTTCTTCTTCAGCTCTTTTTCTTCTCGTCTAAGACGTATTTTCTTCTCCTCCAGTTTTTCTTCTTTTTCTTCTTTCTTTCTTAAGTCATTTTTTTTCTTCTTCGTCTTCTTCTTCAGCTCAGTTTTCTTTTTTTCTTCTTGTCTAAGACGTATTTTCTTCTCCTCCAGTTTTCCTTCTTCTTTTTCATTTTCTTTCTTAAGTCGTTTTTTATTCTTCTTCTTCTTCTTCTTCTTCTTCTTCTTCTTCTTCTTCAGCCCTTTTTTCTTCTTGTCTAAGTTTTATTTTCTTCTCCAGTTTTCTTTCTTCTTTTCTTCTTCTTTCTTAAGTCGTTTTTCTTCTTCTTCTTCCTTTTTCTTCTTGTCTAAGACATGTTTTCTTCTTCTCCAGTTTTTTTTCTTCTTCTTCTTTCTTCTTTCTTAAGTCGTTTTTTATTCTTCTTCTTCTTCTTCTTCTTCTTCTACTTCTTCTTCTTCAGCCCTTTTCTTCTTGTCTAAGATATTATTTTCTTCTCAGTTTTTCTTTCTTCTTTTCTTCTTCTTTCTTAAGTCGTTTTTTTTTCTATTCTTCTTCAGCCCTTTTTCTTCTTGTCTAAGACATATTTTTCTTCTCCAGTTTTTCTTCTTCTTTTCTTCTTCTTTCTTAAGTCGTTTTTCTTCTTCTTCTTCTTCCCTTTTTTCTTCTTGTCTAAGACGTATTTTTTCTTCTCCTCCAGTTTTCCTTCTTCTTTTTCTTCTTCTTTCTTAAGTCGTTTTTTTTCTTCTTCTTCTTCTTCAGCCCTTTTTCTTCTTGTCTAAGACGTATTTTCTTCTCCTCCAGTTTTCCTTCTTCTTTTTCTTCTTCTTTCTTAAGTCATTTTTTTCTTCTTCTTCTTCTTCTTCAGCTCTTTTTCTTCTTGTCTAAGACGTATTTTCTTCTACTCCAGTTTTCCTTCTTCTTTTTCTCCTTCTTTCTTAAGTCGTTTTTTATTCTTATTCTTCTTCTTCAGCTCTTTTTCTTCTTGTCTAAGACGTATTTTCTTCTCCTCCAGTTTTCCTTCTTCTTTTCTTCTTCTTTCTTAAGTCGTTTTTTTCTTCTTCTTCTTCTTCAGCTCTTTTCTTCTTGTCTAAGACGTATTTTCTTCTCCTCAGTTTTCCTTCTTCTTTTTCTTCTTCTTTCTTACGTCGTTTTTTATTCTTCTTCTTCTTCTTCTTCTTCTTCTTCTTCTTCTTCTTCTTCAGCTCTTTTCTTCTTGTCTAAGACGTATTTTTTTCTCCTCAGTTTTCCTTCTTCTTTTCTTCTTCTTCTTTCTTTTTTTCTTCTTCTTCTTCTTCAGCTTTTTTTCTTCTTGTCTAAGACATATTTTCTTCTCCTCCAGTTTTCCTTCTTTTTTCTTCTTCTTTCTTAAGTCGTTTTTTTCTTCTTCTTCTTCTTCTTCTTCTTCTTCTTTTTCTTCAGCCCTTTTTCTTCTTGTCTAAGACGTATTTTCTTCTCCTCCAGTTTTTCCTTCTTCTTTTCTTCTTCTTTCTTAAGTTCTTTTTCTTCTTCTTCTTCAGCTCTTTTTCTTCTTGTCTAAGACGTATTTTCTTCTCCTCCAGTTTTTCTTCTTCTTTTTTCTTCTTCTTTCTTAAGTCGTTTTATTCTTCTTCTTCTTCAGCCCTTTTTCTTCTTGTCTAAGGTATATTTCTTCTCCTCAGTTTTTCCTTCTTCTTTTCTTCTTCTTTCTTAAGTCGTTTTTTTTATTCTTCTTCTTCGGCCTTTTTTTTCTTCTTGCTTAAGTCGTATTTTTCTTCTCCTCCAGTTTTTCCTTCTTCTTTTCTTCATCTTTCTTAAGTCGTTTTTTACTTCTTCTTCTTCTTCAGCCTTTTTCCTTCTTGTCTAAGACGTATTTTTCTTCTCCTCCAGTTTCCTTCTTCTTTTCTTCTTCTTTCTTACGTCGTTTTTTTATTCTTCTTCTTCTTCTTCAGCTCTTTTTCTTCTTGTCTAAGACGTATTTTCTTCTCCTCCAGTTTTCCTTCTTCTTTTTCTTCTTCTTTCTTAAGTCGTTTTTTTCTCCTTCTTCTTCTTCAACCCTTTTTCTTCTTGGCTAAGACATATTTTCTTCTCCCTTTTCCTTCTTCTTTTTCTTCTTCTTTCTTAAGTCGTTTTTTTCTTCTTCTTCTTCTTCAGCCCTTTTTCTTCTTGTCTAAGACGTATTTTCTTCTCCTCCAGTTTTCCTTCTTTTTCTTCTTCTTTCTTAAGTCATTTTTTTCTTCTTCTTCTTCTTCTTCAGCTCTTTTTCTTCTTGTCTAAGACATATTTTCATCTCCTCAGTTTTCCTTCTTCTTTTTCTCCTTTTTTCTTAAGTCGTTTTTTATTCTTATTCTTCTTCTTATTCTTCTTCTTCAGCTCTTTTTCTTCTTGTCTAAGACGTATTTTCTTCTCCTCAGTTTTTTCCTTCTTCTTTTCTTCTTCTTTATTAAGTCGTTTTTTATTCTTCTTCTTCTTCTTATTCAGCCCTTTTTCTTCTTGTCTAAGACGTATTTTTCTTCTCCTCCAGTTTTTTCTTCTTTTTCTTCTTCTTTTTCTTAAGTCGTTTTTTCTTCTTCTTCTTCAGCTCTTTTTCTTCTTGTCTAAGACGTATTTTCTTCTCCTCCAGTTTTCCTTCTTCTTTTTCTTCTTCTTTCTTAAGTCGTTTTTTCTTCCTCTTCTTCAGCTCTTTTTCTTCTTGTCTAAGACGTATTTTCTTCTACTCCAGTTTTCCTTCTTCTTTTTCTCCTTCTTTTCTTAAGTCGACGTATTTTTTTATTCTTCTTCTTCGGCTTTTTTCTTCTTCCCTAAGACGTATTTTCTTCTCCTCCAGTTTTCCAGTTTTCTTCTTCTTTTCTTCTTCTTTCTTAAGTCGTTTTTTTTCTTCTTCTTCTTCTTCAGCCCTTTTTTTCTTCTTGTCTAAGACGTATTTTCTTCTCCTCCAGTTTTTCCTTCTTTTTTTCTTCTTCGTTCTTTCGTCGTCTTTTTTATTCTTCTTCTTCTTCTTCAGCCCTTTTTCTTCTTGGCTAAGACGTATTTTCTTCTCCTCAGTTTTCCTTCTTCTTTTTCTTCTTCTTTCTTAAGTCATTTTTTCTTCTTCTTCTTCTTCTTCAGCCTTTTTCTTCTTGTCTAAGACATTTTTTTCTTCTCAGTTTTCCTTCTTTTTTTTCTTCTTCTTTCTTAAGTCGTTTTTTCTTCTTCTTCTTCAGCCCTTTTTCTTCTTGTCTAAGACGTATTTTCTTCTCCTCAGTTTTCCTTCTTCTTTTTCTTCTTCTTTCTTAAGTCATTTTTTTCTTCTTCTTCTTCTTCTTCAGCTCTTTTTCTTCTTGTCTAAGACGTATTTTCTTCTACTCATTTTTCCTTCTTCTTTTTCTCCTTCTTTCTTAGTCGTTTTTATTCTTATTCTTCTTCTTCTTTTCAGCTTTTTTCTTCTTGTCTAAGGCGCGTATTTTTCTTCTCCTCCAGTTTTTCTTCTTCTTTTTTCTTCTTCTTTCTTAAGTCGTGTTTTTCTTCTTCTTCTTCTTCAGCCCTTTTTTCTTCTTGTCTAAGGTGTATTTTCTTCTCCTCCAGTTTTCCTTCTTCTTTTCTTCTTCTTTCTTAAGTCGTTTTTATTCTTCTTCTTCAGCCCTTTTTCTTCTTCCCTAAGACGTATTTTCTTTCCTCGTTTTTTTTCCTTCTTCTTTTTTCTTCTTCTTTCTTAAGTCGTTTTTTTTCTTCTTCTTCTTCTTCAGCCCTTTTTTCTTCTTGTCTAAGACGTATTTTCTTCTCCTCCTTTTTTTCCTTCTTCTTTTTCTTCTTCGTTCTTACGTTTTCTTTTTTCTTCTTTTTTTCTTCTTCTTCTTCTTCTTCAGCCCTTTTCTTCTTGGCTAAGACGTATTTTCTTCTCCTCCAGTTTTCCTTTTCTTTTCTTCTTCTTTTTCATTTTTTTTTCTTTTCTTTCTTAAGTCGTTTTTTATGCTTATTCTTCTTCTTCTTCTTCTTCTTCTTCTTCTTCTTCTTCTTCTTCAGCCCTTTTTCTTCTTGTCTAAGACGTATTTTCTTCTCCTCCAGTTTTCCTTCTTCTTTTTCTTCTTCTTTCTTAAGTCGTTTTTTCTTCTTCTTCTTCAACCCTTTTTCTTCTTGTCTAAGACGTATTTTCTTCTCCTCCAGTTTTTCTTCTTCTTTTTCTTCTTCTTTCTTAAGTCGTTGTTTATTCTTCTTCTTCGGCCCTTTTTCTTCTTGCCTAAGACGTATTTTCTTCTCCTCCAGTTTTCCTCCTTCTTTTTCTTCTTCTTTCTTAAGTCGTTTTTTTTTTCTTCTTCTTCTTCTTCAGCCCTTTTCCTTCTTGTCTAAGACGTATTTTCTTCTCCACCAGTTTTCCTTCTTCTTTTTCTTCTTCTTTCTTACGTCGTTTTTTATTCTTCTTCTTCTTCTTCAGCCCTTTTTCTTCTTGGCTAAGACGTATTTTCTTCTCCTCCAGTTTTCCTTCTTCTTTTTCTTCTTCTTTCTTAAGTCATTTTTTTCTTCTTCTTCTTCTTCTTCAGCCTTTTTTCTTCTTGTCTAAGACATATTTTCTTCTCCAGTTTTCCTTCTTCTTTTTCTTCTTCTTTCTTAAGTCGTTTTTTTCTTCTTCTTCTTCTTCAGCCCTTTTTCTTCTTGTCTAAGACGTATTTTCTTCTCCTCCAGTTTTCCTTCTTCTTTTTCTTCTTCTTTCTTAAGTCATTTTTTTCTTCTTCTTCTTCTTCTTCTTCTTCTTCTTCAGCTCTTTTACTTCTTGTCTAAGACGTATTTTCTTCTACTCCAGTTTTCCTTCTTCTTTTTCTCCTTCTTTCTTAAGTCGTTTTTTATTCTTATTCTTCTTCTTCGTCTTCTTCTTCTTCTTCTTCTTCTTCTTCTTCAGCTCTTTTTCTTCTTGTCTAAGACGTATTTTCTTCTCCTCCAGTTTTCCTTCTTCTTCATTTTTTTCTTCTTTCTTAAGTCGTTTTTTCTTCTTCTTCTTCAGCCCTTTTTCTTCTTGTCTAAGACGTATTTTCTTCTCCTCCAGTTTTCCTTCTTTTTTTTCTTCTTCTTAAGTCGTTTTTTATACTTCTTCTTCTTCTTCTTCAGCCCTTTTTCTTCTTGTCTAAGACGTATTTTCTTCTCCTCAGTTTTTCCTTCTTCTTTTCTTCTTCTTTCTTAAGTCGTTTTTTTTTTCTTCTTCTTCTTCAGCTCTTTTTCTTCTTGTCTAAGACGTATTTTCTTCTCCTTTCTTTTCTTCTTCATTCTTCATTTTTTTCTTCTTTTTTCTTCTTCTTTCTTAAGTCGTTTTTTTTTATTCTTCTTCTTCTTCAGCCCTTTTTCTTCTTGTATAAGGTGTATTTACTTCTCCTCCAGTTTTCCTTCTTCTTTTTCTTCTTCTTTCTTAAGTCGTTTTTTATTCTTCTTCTTCGGCCCTTTTTCTTCTTGCCTAAGACGTATTTTCTTCTCCTCCAGTTTTCCTTCTTCTTTTTCTTCTTCTTTCTTAAGTCGTTTTTTTTCTTCTTCTTCTTCTTCAGCCCTTTTCCTTCTTGTCTAAGACGTATTTTCTTCTCCTCCAGTTTTCCTTCTTCTTTTTCTTCTTCTTTCTTACGTCGTTTTTTCTTCTTCTTCTTCTTCTTCTTCAGCTCTTTTTCTTCTTGTCTAAGACGTATTTTCTTCTCCTCCAGTTTTTTCCTTCTTCTTTTTTTTCTTCTTCTTTCTTAAGTCGTTTTTTTTTTTTCTTCTTCTTCTTCAGCCCTTTTCTTCTTGTCTAAGTCGTATTTTCTTCTCCTCCAGTTTTCCTTCTTTTTTTTTCTTCTTTCTTAAGTCATTTTTTTTCTTCTTCTTCTTCTTCTTCTTTTTTTTCTTCTTGGCTTAAGACATACTTTCTTCTTCTCCAGTTTGCCTTCTTCTTTTCTTCTTCTTTCTTAAGTCTTTTTTTCTTCTTCTTCTTCTTCAGCCCTTTTTCTTCTTGTCTAAGACGTATTTTCTTCTCCTCCAGTTTTCCTTCTTCTTTTTCTTCTTCTTTCTTACGTCGTTTTTTATTCTTCTTCTTCTTCTTCAGCTCTTTTTCTTCTTGTCTAAGACATATTTTCTTCACCAGTTTGCCTTCTTCTTTTTCTTCTTCTTTCTTAAGTCGTTTTTTTTCTTCTTCTTCTTCTTCAGCCCTTTTTCTTCTTGTCTAAGACGTATTTTCTTCTCCCCCAGTTTTCCTTCTCCTTTTTCTTCTTCTTTCTTAAGTCATTTTTTTCTTCTTCTTCTACATCTTCAGCTCTTTTTCTTCTTGTCTAAGACGTATTTTCTTCTACTCCAGTTTTCCTTCTTCTTTTTCTTCTTCTTTCTTAAGTCGTTTTTTTTCTTCTTCTTCTTCAGCCCTCTTTCTTCTTGTCTAAGACGTATTTTCTTCTCCTCCAGTTTTCCTTCTTCTTTTTCTTCTTCTTTCTTACGTCGTTTTTTATTCTTCTTCTTCTTCTTCTTCTTCTTCTTTTTCTTCTTCTTCTTCAGCTCTTTTTCTTCTTGTCTAAGACGTATTTTCTACTCCTCCAGTTTTCCTTCTTCTTTTTCTTCTTCTTTCTTAAGTCGTTTTTTATTCTTCTTCTTCTTCAGCTCTTTTTCTTCTTGTCTAAGACGTATTTTCTTCTCCTCCAGTTTTCCATCTTCTTTTTCTTCTTCTTTCTTAAGTCGTTTTTTATTCTTCTTCTTCTTCTGCAGCTCTTTTTCTTCTTGTCTAAGACGTATTTTCTTCTCTTCCAGTTTTCCTTCTTCTTTTTCTTCTTCTTTCTTAACTCGTTTTTTCTTCTTCTTCTTCTTCTTCTTCTTCTTCTTCAGCTCTTTTTCTTCTTGTCTAAGACGTATTTTCTTCTCCTCCAGTTTTCCTTCTTCTTTTTCTTCTTCTTTCTTACGTCGTTTTTTATTCTTCTTCTTCTTCTTCTTCAGCTCTTTTTCTTCTTGTCTAAGACGTATTTTCTTCTCCAGTTTTCCTTCTTCTTTTTCTTCTTCTTTCTTAAGTCGTTTTTTATTCTTCTTCTTCTTAAGCGCTTTTTCTTCTTGTCTAAGACGTATTTTCTTCTCCTCCAGTTTTCCTTCTTCTTTTTCTTCTTCTTTCTTAAGTCGTTTTTTATTCTTCTTCTTCTTCTTCAGCTCTTTTTCTTCTTGTCTAAGACGTATTTTCTTCTCCTCCAGTTTTCCTTCTTCTTTTTCTTCTTCTTTCTTAAGTCGTTTTTTCTTCTTCTTCTTCTTCTTCTTCTTCTTCTTCTTCTTCTTCTTCTTCTTCTTCTTCTTCAGCTCTTTTTCTTCTTGTCTAAGACGTATTTTCTTCTCCTCCAGTTTTCCTTTTTCTTCTTCTTTCTTACGTCGTTTTATTCTTCTTCTTCTTCTTCAGCTTTTTTTTCTTCTTGTCTAAGACGTATTCTCTTCTCAGTTTTCCTTCTTCTTTTTCTTCTTCTTTCTTAAGTCGTTTTTTATTCTTCTTCTTCTTCAGCTCTTTTTCTTCTTGTCTAAGACGTATTTTCTTCTCCTCCAGTTTTCCTTCTTCTTTTTCTTCTTCTTTCTTAAGTCGTTTTTTATTCTTCTTCTTCTTCAGCTCTTTTTCTTCTTGTCTAAGACGTATTTTCTTCTCATCCAGTTTTCCTTCTTCTTTTCTTCTTCTTTCTTAAGTCGTTTTTTTATTTTCTTCTTCAGCCCTTTTTCTTCTTGTCTAAGACGTATTTTCTTCTTTTATTTTTTTTCTCCTCCAGTTTTTCCTTCTTCTTTTTCTTCTTCTTAAGTCGTTTTTTATTCTTCTTCTTCAGCCCTTTTCTTCTTGTCTAAGACGTATTTACTTCTCCTCCAGTTTTCCTTCTTCTTTTTCTTCTTCTTTCTTAAGTCGTTTCTTCTTCTTCTTCTTCATCCCTTTTTCTTCTTGTCTAAGACGTATTTTCTTCTCCTCCAGTTTTCCTTCTTCTTTTTCTTCTTCTTTCTTAAGTCGTTTTTTATTCTTCTTCTTCAGCCCTTTTTCTTCTAGTCTAAGACGTATTTTCTTCTCCTCCAGTTTTTCTTCTTCTTTTTCTTCTTCTTTCTTAAATCGTTTTTTATTCTTCTTCTTCTTCTTCTTTTTCAGCTCTTTTTCTTCTTGTCTAAGACTTATTTTCTTCTCCTCCAGTTTTCCTTCTTCTTTTTCTTCTTCTTTCTTAAGTCGTTTCTTTTTCTTCTTCTTCAGCCCTTTTCTTCTTGTCTAAGACGTATTTTCTTCTCCTCCAGTTTTCCTTCTTCTTTTTCTTCTTCTTTCTTAAGTCGTTTTTTTTCTTCTTCTTCTTCAGCTCTTTTTCTTCTTGTCTAAGACGTATTTTCTTCTCCTCCAGTTTTCCTTCTTCTTTTTCTTCTTCTTTCTTAAGTCGTTTTTTATTCTTCTTCTTCAGCCCTTTTTCTTCTTGTCTAAGACGTATTTTCTTCTCCTCCAGTTTTCCTTCTTCTTTTTCTTCTTCTTTCTTAAGTCGTTTTTTTTCTTCTTCTTCTTCTTCAGCTTTTTTCTTCTTGTCTCAGGTGTATTTTTTTCTCCAGTTTTTTCCTTCTTCTTTTCTTCTTCTTTCTTAAGTCGTTTTTTTATTCTTCTTCTTCAGCCTTTTTCTTCTTGTCTAAGACGTATTTTCTTCTCCTCCAGTTTTCCCTTCTTCTTTTCTTCTTCTTTCTTAAGTCGTTTTTTATTCTTCTTCTTCAGCCCTTTTCTTCTTGTCTAAGACGTATTTTCTTCTCCTCCAGTTTTCCTTCTTCTTTTTCTTCTTCTTTCTTAAGTCGTTTTTTATTCTTCTTCTTCTTCTTCAGCTCTTTTTCTTCTTGTCTAAGACTTATTTTCTTCTCCTCCAATTTTTCTTCTTCTTTTTCTTCTTCTTTCTTAAGTCTTTTTTTATTCTTCTTCTTCAGCCCTTTTTCTTCTTGTCTAAGACGTATTTTCTTCTCCTCCAGTTTTCCTTCTTCTTTTTCTTCTTCTTTCTTAAGTCGTTTTTTATTCTTCTTCTTCTTCTTCAGCTCTTTTTCTTCTTGTCTAAGACGTATTTTCTTCTCCTCCAGTTTTCCTTCTTCTTTTTCTTCTTCTTTCTTAAGTCGTTTTCTTCTTCTTCTTCTTCTTCTTCTTCTTCTTCTTCTTCTTCAGCTCTTTTTCTTCTTGTCTATGACGTATTTTCTTCTCTTCCAGTGTTACCTCTCTAGCTTTTTTTTCTCTTTCGTTAAGTCTTTTTCTTCACCATCGTTTCTTCTTCTTCTTCTTCTTTTTCTTCTACTTCTTTTTCTTCTTCTTCTTCACTGATTTTTCTTCTTCTCTAAGTAGTATTCTTTTCTAGTTTTTCTTCGTGATGCCATGCTTTTATTCTTCTACTCCAGATATTTTTCTTCTTTTTCTACTTCTTCAGCCTCATTATCGTCATCAAGTCTTTTTCTTCTTTTCTTTTTCTTCTTTTCTTTTTTCTCCAGCTCTTCTATCATTATTATTATTATTATTATTATTTCTCCTCCTCTTCTTCTCTTCTTCTTCTTATCCATCATTATCATCATCATCATCATCATCATCTCTTTTTTATACTTTTCTTTTTTTTTCTTTTCTTTTTATTAATTTCTTTTTCTTCAGCTCTTCTTCTTCTTTTTCCCAAAGTTTTCCTTTTCTTTTTATTCACTGTGAGAAAACTGTTAATGCTGGTGAAGAAGAGATAACATTTGTTTGAAACTACAATGTAATCTTTATTTTTGTTTTGCTTGTTTTTTTGTTTTTTTTAATTCTGACGACGACATTGTGAGGAATCAATTTCAACTCCTTGAAAAGAGAATAGCCCGATAAAAACAAATTTAGAATTAAAAATTCAATTAATACAACTTTTGTAATGTAATGTGAACTTAATAGATAATAGCTCAGTATATCATGGCTTGACAGTCATGAACGAACATGAAGAAGGATTTTGTAAGTATGGTACAGACACTTAAGCAGTTAATGAGGCTTATACAGGAAAGGGATACTTTTCTACACTGGCTTATAGTGTTTGGGTGCCTGTCGCTCTGCCTTAGTTCACCACATATATATATATATATATGTATGTGTGTGTGTGTGTGTGTGTGTGTGTGTGTGTGTGTGTGTGTGTGTGTGTGTATTAAAAATTAATTTCAATAGTCATAATGGTTTCCTTCATATACAGTGTAACCCGGATGTAAGAGAGTTGTCGGGACCGGAGAAGAAGTCTCTTATATCCGGGTTTCTCTTATATCCGGGTTTGGTCTATTTTATATACATTAACACAGGCTCTAATTTGGGACCAGAGAAAATCTCTCTTATATCCGGGTTTCTCTTATATCCGGGTCTCTTATATCCAGGTTACACTGTATAATAATTTCATTGGTTTTAAACTGTTTTTTTCATTATATATATATATATATATATATATATATATATATATATATATATATACATACACACACACACACACACATATATATATATATATACACATACACACACACACACATATATATATATATATATATATATACAAATGAGAGAAAGAATAAATGGAGTAAAATTCCACAGTTCGTAGCATTTACTTTAAAAAAGTGCTCAATACAAAGTAGAGCAATATATTATTATTATATTTTATTATAATAAAAACATTTTTAAATCGCTACGCAAAAGATTTTATGTTTCAATACTTTGAGTGTACTTCTTCAGGAGGTGATGGTAAGTAGCTGGTGATTAAAAGATTTCTAAAGAAATTTAAAAACAAATTGTTACCCCTTTTCCGAATGTTAAAGGGGGGTGTATAAGGTTAGAATTAAAACTGAACTTGTATGTATGTCTTGATTAACCATTTTAAATGTCAGATCTACGCTAGATAAAAAATATATGCTCAGAGGGTGAAGGTGGGTGAGTTATTTTTTCATGTCAGGATAAACTGGAATAATAGAAAGGCCACCGTTGACAATTGTGGAAAATATGTCAGTGACAAATGTAGCTATATTGTAGGTAAATATGACGTTCAATTTTTGAAAGGGTGTTAAAGGGAGGGTTATTTTGATCAGACAGAAATTGGTAAAATTAGCAAAATTATCCTCGATAGAATCAACCAGCTGATTAGGAAGCGCCTTGGATTTTTACAATTGATTAATACCACAGATGCCATCAATTGGTTTAATGAAATTGATAAAAGAAATTGTTTATTGATCTACTTTGATATTGTGGATTATTACTCATCTATTTCCAGGAATCTATTTACTTTGGCTTTGGAATTTACTACGGAGTACTATTATGTTTCCAACAAGGAACTTGACATTATTATGAATTCTAAATGTTCTGTCCTTATCCATAACAGAGAAGAGTGGATTAAGAAAAACTCTGTTGACCAATATTGGGATCGCTAGATTCCGCTGAGTGTTCCGACCTTGTTGGTTTATTTATCTTATATAATCTTAGTGCCCACTAAGATATCAGCATTGACGACATAGGGTTATATAGAGATGACGGCCTTATGGTAGTGAAAAATTCCACAAAAATTAAAGCTGACAAAATCAGGAAATTAATACATAGAGAATTTAAAAGACTCAACCTTAAAGTTAAGATCAACACTAATTTAAAAAAAATAAGATTTCTTTGATGTCACATTAGGCCTAGTTAACAATATATACCAACCCTACATGAAAACAAACGCCAATCCAATATACATCCACTCAAATCCTAACTATCCTCCATCCGTAATCAAGCAAATACCCTACTCCATAGAATGTAAAATTAGCAATAACTCTTCCAGTGAAGACGTCTTTTACAAAGATAGGAAATTTTATAACCCTGCTTTAAAAAATAGCGGCTATAAGTGCCCTGACATCAAATATATTAAACATAGCAGCGAAAGTAAGAATAAAAATAGAATCAGAAAAATCATTTGGTACATACCCCCATTTAGCCAAATGGTTAGTACTAAGTTAGAGCAGAAGTTTCTCAATTTAATTGAGAAACACTTCCCCGTGAAAAGACAAAAGAAAACTTATCTTAGCCCACGCGTTGAACTTTATGAAAGCAAATGTAAAAAAAAATTATTTTGCAGCAAGTATTTATAAACAAAAGTAAAAATGTTGTTTAGTTTTTAATTTCATTTTTAAATTTAAGAGACACTCATAAATATTCATCAGGTTAGCAACCAACATGCATGACTATAAAAATGTTTTTAAAACATAAAACAAAAACCGTTTAACTCCTAGCCTCTTGTTATTTAAAATATAAAATATATATTAAAATATATTATATATTTTATATACATAAATTTATCTCATACTAAAATAATTTAAATATTAATTGTATAACAAAAGAATTCAACAATAACATTTCCTCACTTTCCTTTATTAGACATTAAATTACGTTCCTTAGCATCTACCATAATGAATATGTTTTTTGAATTTACCCCAAGCAAGGCATTAAATCTACTAAGACACAAGGGTGTGAAAGAATTAAAAACAGAAACATTATGAATGAGCGAGAACAATAAATGAGTAATCAGGAAGACAGTAGATAATGATTGACATTGTATTTAAATTTTTGAAAATCAAAGTTGACCGGAAATCGTGGAAGATAGTTACACGGGTAAGAAGTGCGAGAAAAACTGTTAGTATAGAGCTTACGCTTATATCTAACCAATTCAACTCTACATTGATGAGACCTCGTTGCCAATCTAGTACTGCAATTAAATTCATAAAGTTGAGGTATCATAGTAAAGATTTCATTCAAACAGTTATCATGAAAGTATTTATTTAAAAAAAAAAAGGCACTGGGAAGCCAATTTACGGCGGTGGGAAAGAAGTGCCAGGTTAAGACCAATAATATTACAAATTCTTCTTTGGATTTTTATCAAGAATCTCTAAATCTATAACAGGAGCACGGGGCTTTATGCGGCAGCAATATTCTTAACGTAGGTGAAAGGTAAACGTAGAAATATGTAAGATAGATTCTGGTAAGTAACATTGTGTAGCAGTGAACCAACTTTCTTTCAATAGATTCAATATAGTCTTTCCACTTCTTTTCAGCAGAAAATGTTAATCCAAGAAGGTGTAATGAGTCACTCTCCTGGAGGTTAGCATCAGCCATATTGATGGAAGGCAGAAAGGGGGATTCACAAATGATTAAGTGCAGTTTTGTTTTAGAGGAGTTAAAGTTAACAAGCCATTTTTGCCTCAGTTAACAGCAGACCGTAGGTCATTTTTGACATCAGCCGCCAATTTGACCGTATTAAACTGATCAGACTTAGAATGGAGATTGACTGTGTCATCAGCAAAGTGTTGTGAGGGAGAATATTTCCCTACAAGTTTGGACTCGGCCGTCGGACGAAAGACATAAAAATACTCCTACATCAAGAGGAGTATCAGGAGGAACAGTAGCAGGAATAACCTTTGCTGAAAACAGGTAGTCATTCACATCTAAACATTCTCTTCCCTACGTTCTATTCATATTACATTATGCTTCCCTGTACCACAAGGTAATAAACTTATTGTTAAACAAATTCCAGTTTTCTACTGTTGTTTTTTGATAACTCAGTTATAACACAAAGATTTCCAAGTTGAGAGCTGATGCCATCAGGAAGGTCATTAATGAAAATTAAAAACAAAGTCGGGCCAAGGATAGAACCTTGGGGGACAGCTTCATTAGTGCAGAAGAAGAGTGGCCGTTCGAGATAATATCCATTTCCCGATTTGATAAAAGAAAAGTGAATCAGTTCAAAAATTCGTCCGGAAAGGCCATAATTTTCCAGCTTGTGACGGAGACCAACATACAAAACCCTATCGAACGCTTTCGAGATGTTCAAAGAAACAGCCGAGCTTCACAATTCTTATCTGAAGCTTGATATACTCTTTCCCCAATAATCCTTAATACATCAGCAGTTGACCTAGAGAAACCAAAGTGATACTGCTTTTCTCAAAGAAGGTACTACGGTAGAAGGCTAATAGGCTGATATTTGGACCGGTCAGACGGCTCGCCTGTGTTCTTAAAGACCGGAACAACATATGAGGATTTCTAACAAGCAGGAAAGCAAGAGGCAGTGAGGCATTTATTATACAGTTTAGAGAAAACAGGAGCCATTTCGGGGGCACATTTCGCAATGATTATTACAGAGATACCAGGACCACATGCTCTGTGGGGATCTAGATTAGAGACGATAGCAGAAAACATTGATGGTGTTATATACATATCACTCGACGGAGGCTCAGTTCTAAGTCGAAAGTTAAACAAGAGTTCTCTAAATAAATCAAGAGTGCAATTTAAAATGAATTTACGAACGAAACACACTTCTTTATCAGCAGATGTTAACACCTCAAATTGATTGAAGAGAGGAGGAATAGAAAAATTACTCTTATTTAATACACTATTTCAGAGCCGACAGTAATCACGAGAGCAAAAGTTATTAGATGCAATATAGCGCCTCATTTTCTCAGCAAAAATTTAGCTCCTTCGAGGAAATGTTTATATTTATTACGTGCAGCAACGAACAGGCATCTGTTGTGATCTGAACTGTCACGCTGGTATAGCCGGAAATAGTGATTCCTGTAGGTTATAACGGCTGAACACCTAGGTGTAAACCATGGAGAAGATTGAGGTTTCAACTGGTATTCACGAGAAGGAATAAGAGTATCTATACCGGCTTTAACCC